GGAGAGGAGAGGAGAGGAGAGGAGAGGAGAGGAGAGGAGGAGGGAGGGAGGAAGGAAGGAAGGAAGGGAGGAAACTCTAACAGCAACTGTGAATTCCGTCACCAGGGAGAAAGTGCCAGTGAAGTGGTGTGTGTGTGTATGTGTGTGTGTGTGTGCAAGTCTGTAGACAACGCCCTCCTCCTACACTCATTGGAAGATGCAGGTGGATGGCTAAGGGACTTTCATCCTTCCTTTGGACACACCCGAAAAGCAACAGAATTGTTTCCAAGGGGCTAGAGAGACAACCTAGGGGTTAGAGGCACTTCCTGCTCTTCCGGAGGACCAGAGTTCAGCTCCCAGCATCCCTGTTGATTCATAACTGTTTATAACCCCAGCTGCAGGGGACCCGCTCCTCTTCTGGCCTCTGCAGCCACACACACACACACACACACACACACACACACACACACACACACACACACACATAATTAAAAATAAAAATAATGGAAGAAAAGAATAAACTTAAATCTTTTTTTTTTAAAGAAAGAAACGATGCCACTCGAAGTCACCAGGGCCTCTTCATCTGGAACAGACCCTGCTCCGATGTCCATCTCAAGTGACAGCTCGCCTAGACACCCAGCGGTCTGAATTCTAAACCTAGCCTCACAATTTAATTCCTTAGTCCCTTTCCCTTCTACTCACTTGCAGGTCACCAAACGTGGTGGCTCTGGGGGCCAGAGGACAGGTCAGTGAGATAGTGGCAGCAGAGGACTTTGCCCCTGGGCACAAGCTCCTACGTAAACATGAGGTGATATTAGACGTGATCAGTGTGGCCCAGGCCAACAGCAGGCCCAGCGGTAGAGGCGGGTCCTTCTTCTCACGGTTTAGACCAATTGGGTTCTTTCTCTAAGGGAGAGTGCGGAGGTCTCCTGCTGGCTAGTTAGTGCCGGGAACTTGATAGAGGTTTCTGTCATTCCCTCCCCCCCCCAACGACCTCCCCACCCCCAGGCCTGACACCACCACCCCCAGCCACACAGTCAGATCATTTGGCTACTTTTGATGAGCAACAACCTTTGATAACGATCCTCAGTTTCATTGTGGACACATATTGAACCAGGCACCCTGCGGGCGGGTCTTGCTTTATGATGTATAACTTCAATATGAATTATTCAAATATATTCACGGACAATAAATCCCAACTCATGTTTGGAGTTCTGGATTTGTTTTTATTGTCTCTGAAGAATGATTACATAGACTTTCCCCATTTTGGCTATACTATGATACTTTGAAAAAAGAAGAAAACATAAATCCACCAATTTCTGGGTCATTGGTTTCAGAATTTGTGTGTGTGTGTGTGTGTGTGTGTGTGTGTGTGTGTGTGTGTGTGTGTTATATGGTCTCTCAAGATCAAGTTTCTCTGGGTAACAGTCCTGGCTGTCCTAGAACTCGCCTTGTAGACCAGGTTGACCTCAAATTCACTGAGATCCACATGCCCCTGCCTGGGATTAAAGGCGTGTGCCACCATGGTTTCAGAATTTCTAAAAGTAACAAAATATAAAAAATCATTTTTGTAGGTCAGTGGTGGCACACACCTTTAATCCCAGCACTCGGGAGGCAGAGGCAAGTGGATCTCTATGAGTTCGAGGCCAGCCTGGTCTACAGAGTGAGATCCAGGACAGGCTCCAAAACTACTCAGAGAAACCCTGTCTCGAAAGAAAAAAACAAAAACACATTTTTACCACTGGTACATTGCACTCAAACCAAAATGTTTTAAAGTACACTTTTAACCACCTCTCAGAAAGGGGGCAGGGGGATCAATTACTTGAGTATAATTTGAATTCTACAGGAATTTGTTTTTGTTTTTAGAAATCTCCAGGTAGGGCTGGGTATGGTGGCATATACCTTTAATCCCAGCCCTTGGGAGGCAGAGACAGGTGGATCTCTGTGAGTTTGAGGCCACCCTGGTCTACATAGTGAGTTCCAGGCCAAACAGGGTTATAAAATGAGACCCATTCTCATAAGTAAGTAAGCAAGTAAATAAATAAATAAATAAATAAACATCTCGGTGTTTTGTTTTTTTTTTTTTTCATTGTCAGAATTAACAGGGACATAATGAGCTTTGAGGAACCTAAGGTGACAGCAGCAATTGTTGTCGATAGGAAGGGGACATAGAACCTTAACTCAAACACTTAAGGAACTCTATGACAAAGGAGAAAGAATTTGCTGACGAGTATCCCAGCTCCTCCTGCACACAAAGAGCGCATTAGCCAACGCTCTGTATTTGGTCAAGCTACGTTTTACCAAATTGAGTTGATCATACTTTCCGGCCAACTTAATGAACTTTCAAAGAGATTGCTGAATCCTAACATGTAAGGTAGGGCCTTTGTAGATGTAACCAACCGTCTTATTAAATAAGAAACACAGAACCAATGTAAAAGAGAAAGCCAAGAGGTCAGAGCTCAGAGCTAAAACCTTACTCTTGCTCCTGCGGTGGTCCTACCTCTCTGAAAGAGAGCTACTTTCTGTGTGTCTGTCTTTAAATAGTCTTTCTGTTCTGCCTTCTCATTGGTTGTAAACCCAAACACATGACTGCCTCATCACTGCCTGTAAGTACAGCCATCCAGGTCTTAAAGGCATATGTCTCCAATGCTGGCTGTATCCCTAAACACACAGAGATCTATGGGATTAAAGGCATGCGCCACCACCACCACACTCTGTCTATGGCTCTAATAGCTCTGACTCCCGGGCAACTTCATTTATTAACATACAATGAAAATCACATTTCAGTACAAATAAAATACCACCATAGGCCTTCCTCTTCCCCTTGCTTTCTTCCTTTCTCCTTCCCTCCTCCCCTATCTCTCTCCCTTCCTCCCTCTCTTCCATATAACATGCATTAATCACCTAGAGTGGACCAGGACTGTGCTAAGATGAGTACCTTGTATTGGTGAGTGTCAGATGGTCTCTGCAATCTTTGGGACCGCAGCTCTCATGCTCTGTTTGCGCAGACACATCTGAGAAGAAGAAATTGCCTTGGTGTGTAGCGGAGCGATGCGGAGCAGGAGGGAAGTAAGTGACAGGCATGATGGCCCTTCGCCATCCTCATGGGAGGTAAGAATAAGATCTGCGATCACTGCTCTTCAGGCCCCATTCTGGCCCCGAGCTGAGAGATGAGTCCTTTTTTGGCATTTAACAGAGAGTGCCCCAGGAGGGCTCCGCCTTTGTGGGGGAATGGAATCAGATCAACCCTGTTTGGTGCCATCCTGGCCATTTGGCACTGATGTAAATATCATCCGTGACTCCTTTCGCTATCTCTGAACTTTGAGGACTTCTGGCAGGGTTCTCTTCCCCCCACCCATCACCGTATTCCTTTTTTACAGCCCACCAGGCAGTTCTGGCTGCCATCTCTAGAGCCAGTAAAGAGAATTTGAAAGCTGCGTGCCAGGAGCCATCTTACACACTATAACCATTTCCTTCCTCTGCAGAAACAAGTCAGCCACAAGTTCAGCCAATGCTCGAGCCTCACTTTCCTACTTGGGAGTGTGGAATATCTCTAGTTTTCCCTGGACTGTCACGTTGTCCTCTTCTCAGTGACCTTATCACCCTGAAACCTCAATGGGGAAGAGTCACATGAGGCCCGAAGCTGGGGCAGAGGCAGTGAAGCAAGAGGAGACGTTCCCAGGTCCAAGTTTTGACAGCAGCTTGGATCTCAGAGCCTGTCATTTTGTGTTCTTATTGGTAGATAAAAATCATACCATTTTAAAAATGCAACTCTCTCCCTTCATTCCTCTTCTCTGGAGTGCCTAGGAAATTGTCTCCAGGTTCTTTCTGGGCCCCCAAAGGCACAGTTCCAACCAGCTGGCTGCAGGGAGTCCTGGCTATGAGTGGGCCATCCCACAAGATCACAAGGAACCAAAGAAACGAGAGAGCAAGGCCTTTCCTGCTAGGCCATGCGCCCAGGTTATCCTTCTCCCGTATTCCAACCTAGTCTTGACTCAGAATTTCTGGAAACCAATGGAATCACCATTTCAAGGTCAAGATCAACAGAAGGGAAGCAAAGTGAAACCTGGTCTCCCCTAGCCCCCGTAGAATATTATTTTAAGGTGTGTGACTTTTTTTTTTTTTTTTTTTTGGTTTTTTTTTGAGACAGGGTTTCTCTGTGTAGCTTTGCGCCTTTCCTGGAGCTAACCTGGTAGCCCAGGCTGGCCTCGAACTCACGGAGATCCGCCTGCCTCTGCCTCCCGAGTGCTGGGATTAAAGGCGTGCGCCACCACCGCCCGGCCAAGGTGTGTGACTTTTGTTTATGTTGTATTTGTTTAACTCTGTGAAGCTGTGTTACTGTACCTGTCTAAAACACCTGATGGGCAGGGCTGGCAGGCAGAGAGGAGAAAGAGGAGAAAAGGAGGGATGGAGAAGGAAGAGGATCTAGTATCATGAGAGAAGGAGGACTCCGGGGACCAGCCACCCAGCCACAGCAAGCCTCAGAGTAAGAACTAAAGAAAGGTATATAGGATAAAGATAAAGGCCCAGAGGCAAAAGGTAGATGGGATAATTTAAGTTAGGAAAGCTGGCTAGAAACAAGCCAAGCTAAGGCCAGGCATTCATAAGTAATAATAGACCTCCATGTGATTTTTTTTTTGGGGGGGGAGCATTTGGGAGCTGGGTGGTGAGCCCCCAAAGAGCAAAGAGTAAAGAGTGAAAAAACAACCAACTACTCAGCACTTTATTATCTAATAATAATAAAAAAGAATGATTGTATTTGGGAAGTCCTGTCTCAGACAACTTGGAAAAGCATAGTAAGGCTTCAGCTGCTAAATGTCTTCCTATTTCCCTCCTCTCCTTTTCCATCTCGTGGCTCCAACGTGTAACTGTGCAGAACCACCTTAATGACCCCCATTCTAACCTGATCCATGTCCCCAGGATACAGGTATTTCTATCCCGGGCTACATTTCAGAGATGTGCTGTTCTGTTAGTCTCTTCCTGAGAATAGAGTGTTCTAGGCGCATGATCTGTCAGAAGGGAGTAAGGACGGATGAAAGAGAGCCCCAGCAGGTTTGAGGAACCATGTGAAGCCCCGGAGTTATTTAAATGCATAGTTAACATTTATTGAAAATAGCTTTGATTGCAGGAGAAAATTAATTAAAGCAGACAAAAGGCTTCTAACCAGATTTATGCTATCTGACTGTGTAATTAGACCTGGCTCTGAGGCCATCCCAACAAGTTTGTTTGGAGAGGAGCAGAGATCACTGTTTACTGGAATGGCAATCATTTGGGTTTCTTTAATTGACTCCTGGTGTGAAGACGTTGATGCCTGCTGTTCTCTGAGCGGCAACGTGGAAAGTTTCCAGGAAAAGTTCACATTCCAGGGGCAACTTTGGAATCTACTTTCCATTGCAGCCCAAGTCAGCCTGCCGTTGGGACTTGACTTTGTACCAACAAAATACCAGCCCTCAAAGGCAGGCTCCCCAGGCGGCAGTGACCGAAGCTGCTCTAGAGACTGGGTAGGGAGCATGGCACTGAGCAGTCAAGACGCTGGAAGGCATTTCCCCAGTCTTTCCTTCCCCGGGTCTAAAGTGCTGAGGGCACCAGAGGCTGTGGCTCCTGGAGCCTGGCGATGCCAACTGGGGAAATGAATTAACATTCTCATCCCAGGTCTGGGTCTAAGGAATAGAGCCATGGGGAAGGGGGTGTGTGGGATGCTGACGTCCTCTTCCCAATGCTCCCAAATTCCCCCAAAGCATAACTGCCAGTAACAGGATGAAAATGAGAAACCAGCCGGGCGTTGGTGGCGCACGCCTTTAATCCCAGCACTCGGGAGGCAGAG